CCACATTACGTGGATCTAAATATAACAGGGAGCAGTGTAGGTTAATGCAGCATGTGCTATATGCAATATATATTATGGTAATATAGTTGTGTACCCCAGATATATAGTTTTATCCATATACAAAATACATTTTACATTATTCTAAACATTGGTTTTATATATCGAAATGAAAGCTTATTTTGATACTTGACACCATTAAAATCCAAACTCTGTATGTAGGTTACTTTCTAAATTTGCAACTGCTAGTCGTCGGGCTGTGATGTTGACCCTCTGGCTTCAATAATGTGACCTGAAAAGCTATAAAAAAAGGCACCTGGCATTTTTAGAAGGTCAGCAATAGCAGCCCCCCAATTTCTGTCAGGAAAGTTTTACTTTGAGCAAGCATTAAAAATACACCTGGCAATGTTGACTATTCCTAACCTTGTTGGTGAAAGTTTATTCTCAGGCTGCAGGAATGGAAAATGTCAGGTGTCTGCAGGTTAAACAGGTAAATCAGGTTGTTGTCCTGTTATGTGGTAGATATCTATTTCAGTGACGTGTCTCTTTCGCTGGTGTAAGCTGACAAGCCACAATCATGTAGTCCATAGAAAACAGAGCTTTACCTGTCTTCACTTTTAAGCTACCAGAGCATTGATCAAATACAATCAATTCCTGAACTTTACTCAATGTAGAACATTTATCAAGCAAATAAGCAAGACATGTGGACAGAAAACAGGTGGCCTGTCAGTTAGCAAAATATATGTGACTGGCTTCATGTGTATTTGTGCCCCCTGCGGCTGTAATCTACGCAGGAAACTGTGACAGATTTCCACAGGTCTGCCACAGATTTACTATTGGTGCTCTGAAGTGTAGCTCAGAAATATTTGACTTGAAATATTAGATGCTTGTGGAATTCAACAACCTCTAAAACCCATTTGTTGAAAACTAACCCAAAGGCTGCGCGTACATCAGTTAGCTGATCTACATAACTGATATATCAAGTCCTTTTGGGCTAGTTCACACCAGCCATAGTGCAGGGGTGTGGAATTCCTATTGCCCCCTGGCGCCCGGGATATGCAGTTTCGGGCGCCGGGCGAGTAGTTTTTTTGTACATTTAGCCCTGCTCTGGACAAGCAGAGCTAAATGTACAGCGGGGAGCTGCCGCTCGTGTAGTACAAGTGATCTGACCAGATCACTTGTATCACACAAGCAGCGGCGATCGTGTCCGCCCCCACCGCCCGCCGTGGTTTTCGGGGTCCCCCTCTCTTCGGGGGGACCCGAGACCACTGCAGAACGGCTCAGCCATAGAGTGTAGAGTAGACGAAGAACGGACGTTCTTCGTCTGCTGTGTGGGATCACTGAGACCGTGGCGCTGTAATCGCAGCACCACCTGTCTCAGCTATCAGAAACTGCACAGAACTTCTGTGTTGGAGGGCAGGTTCCATAAAGAGAACCTGTCACCTCCAAACTATCACATAGGGGCTTGTGATATGAATACAATTCAGTTTTAAAAAATTAAAAAATAAATAAAAATGTAAAAAATAATAAATTATATAAATAAATTTGAAAAATAAAAGTGATAAAGTAAAAAATAAACTAAAAAACAATTAAAACCAACCCCGCTGCCCCCTGCCGCAGGACATTGTGTGTGTGTGTGTGCGCGTTGAGTGCTGCCGCCATTCCATTGTGGTAGCCAGGCAGCAGAACTTACACACAATGTGCATAAAGGGCAAGTTCACTTTCCCAGGTAATATGGGAAAATGGAATCTGGCCCCCGTCTCTTCCAACTTCCCTCAGCTCCAGCCCGCCCCCTTCCTCCCCGCTACACTTACCTTTTGGCGAACAGTCCATCCCCTCCGCCAGTACGGGTGTACTGTCCAGTGCAGCCCTGCCCTGCCCTGCGCATATTGCATTTCGCTCGCAAATTGCAAGCACTCATTGGTCAGTGTGCCGATACCGAGTATTTGGGCGAGTACTTGTACTCACCCAAATGCTCCAATACCTTCCCTGATACAGGAACTTACGGACAGAGGAAAATTTCCTCTGGCCGCCAGTGCTGTAGGGGAATCGGGAAGCCGTTCGGCAAGTAATGACCCGCCTCCTGGTTTCCTGATTGGCCAATGACAATTAAGCTGGCCAAACAACATGAAGTCGGCTTCCCTGGCACTCAGGAAGCCGGGCGGCATGTCCTTTCCCGCTGCCCGGCTTCCTGATTACCCGGGAAGCCTGCTCCATGCCAGCGGAAGCAACTGTATTGGTATTCAGTATCAACGAGTACCAAAAGTAAAATATCGGTACTGGTACTTGATACCGGAAAACCGGTATTGATGCGTTCCTAGTTTTGATTAAAACATTTTTTTTTTGTATTGGGACAAGTAGATTGTCATGAAGGACAAGTACATTCTGCCCCTGTTTTAGCCCTTGGACAAGTAATTTTTTTTTAAATTTCCACACCCCTGTAGTGCGTCCTGTCCTGATTCTGTCCGGAACGCACTGGATCGCATTGCGGCCCCCCTCACTTTGTTGTGGGGCGGGAGGAGGTGTGGCGGTGCATTGAAGTGAATCTGGCTGTCAACTGGCCTCTGATAAACAATCCAGCGCAGATCGTTTTTTCATAGGGCAGTAAGAGTCCGCCGCATGTGTAAACGAGACCTTAAAGTGTAATTCTACTTTTGCAGTCCAATTAGAGAAAACCAGCTAAACTTGGGTCATAGGTCACCTAATAACCTCATACTGCCCCTAATGCAATTATGAGACTGTCTTTTCCACCATATGTCATTTCTATGGAAATTTGGGCACTTGATGTACAGAGCTTGGTAAAATAGATCCAACAATCTGCACCTTCATGGACATGTACAAACAAAAGTCTGCAGATAGTCAGGCTATGAGGATTACAGACAACTGTGCCTGACCTCTGCCTACCAGGGACTTTGTCAGGATGTCATTATGATGGAGCTGTATATGATGTTCCTTATAGTAGCTTAATAAAAATGATCCTAAGCAGCTGTCAGAGGGTAAATGAAAGCCAACACTTGATACCATTTGTATAAATAGGTCCCTTTGTGTTTGTAAACCTGCAAGTCTCCTTTATTCCTTGACTCCCTAAACAATGGTAATTTCATTACCTGGATTAGACCGTACGTTTGCTGATGTAATTTCATTGTCAGTCAGCAGGGACATATTGGTTTTTCCATGATTTACATGCCTTAGCATAACTTGCTTCAAGCTGTTTCAAAATCTTGTTTGAGAAATGCTAATGTAATCATGAACCATTGGTGTAACATGTCCTGCTGCAGTCCTATACTGTACTGTATATCCGGGTGGACAAATGAATATGGAATTCAGGAGCCATGCTGTCCAATCCAGGAGCCAGCAGGATTTTTTTTTAGGAGCCAGTTCCATTGATAACAATGGAACTGCTGCTGTATATATGCCCACACACACTGGCCATTGCATTAGGTGCACCTTTTTATGTTGGTCCTGATGGCATCACACACACTTCATTCAGAGTTGTTCAACATATACTTTTATGCTCTATACCTCATCCCAAAGATGCTCTGTTGTGTCAAGGTACACAACAATCTTCAGGTATTCTTCATTCGAACACCGGGACCGTGCACTGCCATATATTGCATGACCGGACCGCACTGAGACTGTGCGGCCTGGTACCATTTGATCCGCGGACCGGGGGTTGGGGAACACTGTTATAGACCCCTGATGTCTCCATAAAGATGAAATGTCACTGTAAATTTGCTATAACCTAAGGTGCTTCTTAGTGTAAGTTAAGTGTATAAAAAAAAAGTTTAAAAAAAAAATGAGTCACATAAAAATTAGTTACACATTTAAAAAAAAAAAACACAATTTTTTTTAAAAGTTCCTTCGCCCCCACATACACACGCAAACATGCGTCAGGTGCGCCTGTGTGCGAAGAAACAATGATAGCGCTGCACTTGTTACATATCGCCACGAACGTCAGATCGCAAGCAATAATTTTAGGGCCATTAATCCCTCATAACACTAAACTGAGGAGTGGTAAAAGCTTTTAAAGCGTCGCCTATGGCCAATTTTGGGTATGGTAGTTTGTTTTTTTTGCGATTTCACACGCGCGCACTTTTAAGGCTTGATGTGTTTGGTGTCTATTTACCCGACGTGATCCCATCTTTTATATTTTATCCAAAAATTGGGTAATAATATTTAATAATGTAACGAAAAGTTAATTTTTTTTCAAGACTTTCTGTACTTTTTTTGTTATATAGTAAAAAATAAGAACCCCAGTGGTGATTTAATACCATCAAAAGAAAGCTCTATCTGTCTACAAAAATGGTATAATATTAATTTCAGTACAGCGTTGCATGACTGAAAAAATGTCCGTTAAAGTACCGCAGCGCTGAATACTGAAAAATGGCCTGGACAGTGGTTAACCGAGTGGTTATTTCCTGACACAATTTGGAATTCATGCTGTTCCCATATTACTTAGCCTGCCTTCTGCATGTTGCAGCAAAATCTTTTTTTTCTTTTTAAACATGACAGAACTTTTTTACACAACCATCCAGTTTTGCTGATCCCTTGTACTCTGTAGCCTCATTTTCCTGCTGCTAGCTGGCAAAAGTGGAGCCCAGTGTGGTCTTCTGCTGCTGCAGCCTATCTTCTAGCGCACACTGCCCATTCAGCATTGTGGTCATCGGAAGCCTGCCCCTCAGCGGGGCGGGCTTGGATTATCGCAAGTACGATCTGCCAGTCCAAGATGGGCAGATCGTATGTTTTTTAAATTACCTTACAACCATCGCAAGACAAAAGTCTTGCAATGGTTGTAAGGCCTGTGGCCAGCTTTAGGTTTGTGATATGAGCCTCCTGTATTGAGCCGCCATCAATTGTTCCAAGGGAATTGACCTGATAAATGACTTTTCTACTTCGGCAAAAAATGTACTTAGAAGTAATACGTGAATATGTTAAATTATGCGCATGGATGGTTTCATTTGTTAAAACGGTTCTGTTGATTTTTTTTTCCCATTTTCTTCTTTTCTTCCATTGCAGGAATAGTGGCACAGGAGACCCACTTTGAAAACCTGCAGTCACTTGGGCGCTCATACATCGCAGCTTCTTATGTGAAGACTCTAGAATCAGCTGGAGCCAGAGTTATTCCTATAAGGTAATGAGTAATAGTGGACAGACACCTTGAATTAATCCTGTGGTTTATGTAACGTCCCTAATCTGTAATATGGATTAAAATGCAGGCAACCAGAGGTGCCTACATACATTTGCCTCTTACATACCACACAACTAAAACCCACGGTGATCTGTTATGGAAATAACTTTGACTTGGAAGCTGCCATTTTTAATGTGATGGATGGCCCCTACCTGCGGTATGCCTAATATTAATAAATAACATGGTTTACCTTTCTAGAATAAACCTGCCTAAAGAAGAATATGTGAAGATCTTCAACGCAATAAACGGGTATGTCCTTGGCTACTTCTTTTTAACTACCTGAGTAACTAGCCTGTATAGCACTCCATGCTAATCTCTGTTTCCATTGAAACTGCCCATATAACATAGATATTACAGTGCACTTTTATTAGAGAATGTGGCTCTTTGACTTTAACAGTCTCATAATTGGGTACCACTAAAAAAAGAATAGAATTTTATGGGGGGGAGGAGGGGTGGGGTTTCCTCTTTCTGAACATATCACTGACGATCAGGTCCAAAGAAACCACCAACCACAGCAAGCAGCTCTGGGTGACTTAGAGAAGACAGCTCACTGCCTTCAAATTACCAACTTTCTTATCTTTGCTTGTGGATTGGGTTAGAGTCTAGGTCAGGGAAAGTGTTAATATATCTGAGGGAATTTTTTGCTGGGTAAAATAAAAAGCAATTATTTTTATTTATTTCATTTTTTTTTGTTAATTTTTCTTTTTACTTTCAATAGTTCTTTATTGAAGTCAAGTGAAGCATACATAACAAAGTGCATATAACATAAGTTCATTTTTCTTTTTAATTAGACATAAAAAATGCTGAGAGTACAAAACCTGTATTGCTATCACAATGTATATGGAAAATGCAAAAAAAAATAATAGGTGGGGGATCTCTTTCTGATTTTATTGATGTTTGGGTCTCTGTTGGGAAGGCTTCTGATCACTTCCTGTCCTAGTTGACCACAGTCAAAGTGGCAGGAATTAAAGGAATCTCCCCAGTGGGAATGCAGATAGCAATATACACTTTTATCTACCTTTTAAGAAAACTCATTTTTCTAGGGTTTTACTTTAACTTGCAGATACGTAAGTTAAAATACATTTGGTGCTAAGTTGAGCAAAATCACAAGATTTTTAAGTTTTAACGTTTAACGCTCTCCTTTTGTTTTCTAGGGTTCTTCTGCCAGGTGGTGGAGTTGACCTTAAAACTTCAGAATATGCAAGAGTGTCCAAGATATTTTATGATCTGGCCATTGCGGTAAACTCATTGCTAATAACTATAATGAGGGGGATTTACTAGGACTGGAGCAGACAGAATTTGGATTTACTAGGACTGGAGCAGACAGAATTTGGTTCAGGCTGCATGGCAACCAATCAGCTTCTAGCTTTACTTTCAAAGCTCATCTGAGCAAGCTGATGATAGAGGTTGATTGGATGTCATGCTAAATATGGGACATCACAATTGTAGCCACTTAGTAGCTCTTTTGCTAAAGGCAGAAGTCAAACAGAAAGCTTTCCCTGAAAAACTAGTTAATGGTTTACACCAGCATTTCTCAAGGTTTTTTTTCAGTCATGGCACCCTTTTAAAAACATGAAAACTCTTAAGGCACCCCAGACTAAAATGTAAAAAATGACGCGTAGTTCTTTCAAAGATCTATACCAGATCCTTATCCTTGATAGGTGTCTGGTATGGATTTTAAGGGAGGACTGCATGAAAAAAATTAGAGTTCCCCCTTTCCCATCAGAAGCCCTTTTCACATCAGAGTCCCCCCTGGATTGCTGGTGCTCGCCTACACCATGGAAATGCATGACACTGTGTGAAAATTTGAAGACACCCTGGTTGAGAGAGGCTGGTTTACACTACCATCCTACCCTAAATCAATCTGTGTCAATCATGATTAAGGTCAACTTTTTGAATACATTAGAAATGTGAGCAGAGTACTGTCATGTATTAAAAGGGAATGTACTCTAGAGACAAAGTGATCATTTTGCCACTTATTAGATCGCTGGTTCGGCCTCATCTTGAATATGTGGTTCAGTTTTGGTCACCAATCCACTGAAAGGATGTCCTGGAGAAGGTCCAGAGAAGGGCAACTAAACTAATAAATTGGCTGGAGGATCAAAGCTATGAGACTAGGTTGCTAAATTTAAACTTGTTCACACTAGAAGTGAGGAGATTAAGAGGAGACATGATTTTGATGTACAAAATGTTTAGTGATAAGACAACATCCGCAATACACTTTTTACTCTAAACTCCGTAACAAGGACTAGAGGCCACCACTTAAAACTGGTGGAGGAAAGATTTATCCACAAATGGCGTAGGGGCTTCTTTTCAGTTAGAGCGATTTACATTTTGGAACTCTCTGCCACAAGCAGTGTTATCTGCAAAAAATATTGATTTGTTCAAAAATCAATTAGGTACCTTCCTCAGAGACGGTAACATACCGTGGTGCAGGTACTCTTAAATACTAGACCACACAGGGACTCTTTTACAGTTATAAGACAGTGTCTTATTTTCGGGGAAACACGGTATGTAACTATGTAACCGGATGTCATAACTTGCTTTAAACTAATGAGTAAGATGAGCCTAACATTGTCATGAATGTCTCTCTCTTACAGGCTAATGACAGAGGTGACTCTTTTCCCATTTGGGGAACATGCTTAGGATTTGAAGAACTGACAGTTCTAACAAGCGGGGAACTTCTCTTAACACTAACAAATACAGAGGACATTTCATTGCCTCTAAACTTCACTGATAGTAAGTACTTTACAGAAGGGGGTTTCAACTATTTAGAGCAACTTACAGGAGAGCTCTGTTTGAGGAGAAAAAACACCTGTCAGGATCTGGATCTGAACCCAGGGTCTCTGCTATGATTGATAATGGCTTTTCCTTCTGAACCACTTGAAACTCAGGATAGCTCCTTGCCTGATCTCTTGTGCAATCTCCTTTAGTCCTAGTTTTATGCTGACCTCCAAACTCCTTGCTCCCCCCCCCCCCTAAACGTCCTATTTAAGCCATGTCTCTGCGCTTCCTGTTTGCCAGATTATTGTGCTCCTGCCAATATCTTGCTTTCAGTTCTTGCTGCCAAACTATATCCTTTAAGCAGAACTCCGGGTAAAATTTGTATTAACCCTTGCAGTGGGCTACCTCCACTCTGCAAGGGTTAGGTGCTCGATTGTGTCTAGCTTCAAAAAGGAAAGTTGTACTCACCCGATCCTCTGAGACGGCTTGCTTTTAAACTGGTCACTTCCGCCTTACTCCTCCTCCGCTGTAACAGTCTCATAAATCATCACGTTCTATACACAGTGTATAGGACATGAGGATGCTGACGAACATACCATCACTGCAGCAAAGGAAGAGACGGGCAGGAGGGAGCGCTGTGACAGCTGGCTGGCTTGGAGGATCAGATGAGTATATCTTTTTGCTATTTTTAAACCTAGACACAAACGAGCAGTTACCCCTTGTAGTGCGGGGGTAGCCCCCCTGCATTGGTTGAGAATCGTTTTACCAGGAGTTCTGCTTTAAACCTGCTATTTGTGTACCAATCCTTGGCTGCTGATTACCGACTACATTTATGGACTTCCAGTTTAAACCTGATACCTTTTGGCTACTGACCTTGGCTTATTCACTGACGATGCTTCTGCCTGCTCTTATACTGTTACTGACCACTAGTGTACCGACCCCGGCCTGTTTATACCACAAACTTGTCTGCTGTTTTAGCTACAGGACTCCAAGCTTGATCCCACATCGTGATGACACCACTGTTCAGGTTAAAGTGACCCTGTCACCACAAGGTCGCTTCTACAAAAGAAGCCTATATGTACTTACCGCTCCGGCTGCCCTTGTGCTAAAAAGCTAGAACATCTCTGATCCCCAGCTGTCTCATGTATGTGACCGGATGAGTCAAATATTTGCCCCTCCTGCCAGTTCTTATGTCCTGTAATGCCAGTGCCTTTTTAAGTACATGGGCAGCCGGAGAGGTAAGTAAGTAAATGCTTCTTTTACAGATGATCTGTGGTCACTTAACTTTGTACATTATACAGATTTTAGGCAGATTTCTGCTCTGTGCTTCCTGTGCACACAATTCATTTAACAGGCGCTAAGTGGAAACGCCCGCCTGCTATATCACATGATTAACTGCAAGGTTGTAATCATACTGCCGAGGAAAGTAAGCCAATCACATAAACAAGAAGTTCGATTTTTCACTGTGTTCTGTATACAAACAGAGCTTAGACTACCTTTCATTTTTCACTGATGCAAACGGGAAGTTTTAGAAGTTGCTCCATTGTGAAATGGAAAGGTAATTTATAATAATATTCTAAGCTACACTGTGTAGCATCTAAATATTGATCAGTTTTAACAAAAGTTGAGTTTTCTTTTGAAGGAGAAGTGCGTAAAAAGTAAAACATACTCTCCCTGCTACTTAGAGCCAACATCAGACACTCCATCTGTCACATGACGGCTCTATACGGAGAGCTGAGCGATCGTATATCCACTGATCACTCAGTCTTCTCCCTGCCGAGAGCGGTGCATGTCAGTCACTCCTCCTTGTAGAGATTCCCCCCTTCCCTCTCCATTTCTCCAGTGTTCATTAGAGGGACAGAGAGGGGAGGGGGTGGGCACAGCTGGCACTGGCTATAGAGAGGCAGAGCCAACTGTCACTTAGTCAGCTGGGGAGGATCCTGACAATATTGTCAGGATCCTTCCCAGCTCCAATGGTGTAAATGTACTCCTGTGACCTAAAAGATAAGTAAAAGCAAAAAAAAAAAAGGTTTTTCTTTATTTTTGTCTTTTTTTGCACACATTTTAAAATCCACATTTTGGGTCTGAAGATTACTTAGACCCCCCAGAATGATATATTTCTGGAAAGAGACCCTGTAGAGTAAAATGGTAGCATTTACGATTTTTATGTTGCATGATATTCGCGCAGCTGTTTATCAAACTGTTTATTAGTAAAAAATACAGATAAGTTAATTTGAGTGTATCTAAACACAATATATTACCCAATGTTTGGTGAAGTATAAAAGATAAGGGTCGTGCTGAGTAAATAGATACCCAACATGTCAAGCATGGATGAAATGGGGAAAAACCTATGGTACCTATAATTGTCCATAGGCGATGCTTTCGAATTTTTACAGGTCATTAATTCAGAGTTTACCATGAATAAGGGCCCTAGAGTTTTTGCTCTCACTCCACCGTGCGTGGCGATACTAAGACGTGTGGCCTGATCATCGTTTTTGTACGTAGGTGCACCCAACGCGTCTTTGCATTAGTATGTGCATGGGGGGCAGGTCCTCTTTTAAGAAGAATTTAGGGGTCTCTCCTTCAATGTCACATTTTATGTAGTAGCTGGGGAGGAGAAAAGGGGAATACTATAGAATATCACTTGACAGCTTTGAGTCTTCTGGGGCTGCTGACATCACATCCAAGATGGCAGCACCCAGCTACAGTCTCAGGGCTTTTGGCTTGTCTTTACAAGGGAGGCTTTTACAGGTAAATAATACAAATACAATCTATTAAATACACCTATAATCTTATAGGGAGGTTTTTGTTGAAATGAGTGGTCTGGTGACAGGGTCTGTTTAAAGAGAATTGTTTGTTCATTCATTGATGGCAGTACATTTGTGGAAATATGGTTAATCCTTTCATTGTATTCTTCATGTTTATTTTATTCAGACTGTACCATAAAGGATTCACTGTCTTCTGTATTGGCTTCATCTTGTAGGTGCTTTACACAGCAAATTATTCCAAAAGATGCCCCTGCCACTGTATAAATCTCTGTCAACCATGCCCATAACTGCAAATTTCCACGACTGGAGTCTGTCAGTGCAGGTGCGTGAACACATAATACTTTGCTTATTCCCTCTCTCTGGGTTTATATGTGCTGCTGAGGGGTAGGCAACATCGGCACTCCAGCTGTAGTGAAACTGAAAATCCCATAATGCCTCTGCTTCTGAAAGTCATGCCTAAAGTTTTCAAACTATTGCAAGTTGTCCAAACTATTACAATGACTCATGGGACTTGTAGTTCCACAACAGCTGGAGTGTCACAGATGCCTACACCATGTCATAATCACATATTATCTTTTGACTTATTTTATATATCATACATCTACTGAGTTACAGACGATGCCTAAGTCTGTCCTCACACATTACAATCTGAATGTACAATCTCCTTTAGCGGTACCGATAGCCATGTAGTGTGCAGGCCTACCTGAGTGGGTTGTTTAGGAAGGCCCTTTATATTACAGAGCTGTTCATAAATCTAATGGGGATTGTACAGTCAGACTGTAATGTATTCAGCCAGCTAAAGACAATAAAAACAAAAATCTACAACAGACCGAAATCAAAATGATTATTATTACAGGTATTTCTATGTTGCAATCAATTGACACACCAATTTACATATTATTCACATATCAGTCCCTGCCCTCAATGGAAATCTGACGGGGGTTCTTGCCTTCCCCCTAACTCTACTACAAAGCACATTTTTATTTCTGTGTTGGTGTTGGAGAGTTCCCCTCACTTCCTTCCTTGCTCAGGCTCCTGCAGTCCCTTCCTTCCAGTCGCTGTCTGTACATTGTGCATTGGAGCCAGTGAAGCATTGCAACCATGATCAGTGGATTACAGGTGCAATGCTCTGGTTCCTGCAGATTCTCCCTCCCATCTCTGTCCATACCTTGGTACAGACATTCAGTTACAGGGACGGGAGGAAGTACGAATGGAATACAAGAGCAGTGACGTCGCTACATTTATACTTAATTGAGAGTGTGGTGGTAGAGGGGGCTTGTAGTAACAATCACAGATCCTGTGAGTGGATGACACTCCAAATATAAAAGATGACAGTAGTCTGTGGAGTGAAGAACCTCACTATTCAAATAAGTGGAGGGGTGGGAAGGTGGTGGGGGTTGACAATGTAGCCATTAATCTATTCAATAAATCATACCTTGTCATACTCCATGGCAAATTCTGCATTTGGTGAACACGTTGTTAGTTTACTGACAGTGTAATGCAAGGGTAGCCAAACTCTGCCCTTCCAGCTGTGATGAAACTATAAATTCCAGTGGCGGAACAATCACAATAGTGACCCAGGCGGCCGCTATGGGGCCCGAGGCACAGGGGGGCCCGGCTAGGACGCCCACCTGATGCTGTGCGGGCCGTCTGGGTCGCTATGGCATCTCAGGCGGCTCTGAGGTGGAATGTGTCACTGTTAGATCACTGACAACTTGTCAGTGATCTGTGCAGCGGCTTGTTCCTCCACACAGCTGCTGCTGAGTCAGTGACAGCCAACAGCTGTGGAGGAGGAGGCCGGCCCGGCTTCGGCAGAGAAGGAGGAGGTGGGGCCCGGTGATGGAGGAGGCGGGTCCCAGCGACGGAGGAGGCGGAGATCGATCAGGGCTGACAGGTAAGAGGGTTTGACCAGCCCACTTGAGACCCTGCAGAGCCCACCATAGAGGGTCTATGGTGGGCTCTGCAGGGTCACTCTTGGGTGGGTTGTTTGGGTTATCAGGTGGCCGTAACTAGACATCATAGGGCCCCATACAAAATTTTGCTATGGGGCCCTGTGATTTCTAGTTACGCCCTTTACAAATTTCATCATGTATCTGCCTCTGGGACTTATGTCTGTGGCTGTCACAGTCTTGCAATGCCTAATGGGATTTGTAGTTGCACCACAGCTGGAGGGCCAGTTTTTATACCCCTGGTGTAATTAATCTAACAGGCTGCTAGTTTTATATAATGTTGTTTATTTTTATGTGTTCTTGTATATGTTTTACTTCACAGAATTTTACAGCAAATGAGAAGCTAAGAAAGTTCTATAATGTTTTGTCAACAAACTCCGATGGTGTGTTGGAATTTGTGTCTACTATGGAAGGTAGGAATCGGACCATTCTTGCTGTGTTATTATAGAAAACGCAGGATTTAATGTTCTCCATTTGTTCAAGTTTTTGTACACAAGATGTATTTAAGTGGATGTAAAGCAGAAAAATCATCTGCTACTTTCTCCCTTTTAGTTCGTTAAATATACCATTTGGAAGCATTTTGTTATATCTGTATGATAAGTGCAAAAATAGCTGTTGATCATGTCCGAATTTCAGAGCTGTCCTGTGGACACTCTGTGTTATCTGAAGCAGTCCAATTTGGTCTCCTACTTCAGAGTTTTTTTTGGCACAGTGGTGAGGTGATTAGCACTTCTGCCTTGTAACACTGGGGGTCCCTGATTCAAATCCCGGTCAGGACACTATCTGGAAGGAGTTTGCATGTTCTCCCTGTACGTGTGTGGGCTTCCTCCGGGTACTCTGGTTTCCTGCCACACTCCAAAGACGTGCTGGAAGGTTAATTGGCTCCTGTCTAAATCGGCCCTAGTGTGTGTGTGTGTATGCATTTGAGATGCGGACCTTCGGTTGTAAATTCCTTGTGGGCAGGGGCTGTGTAAATTGTCAGCGTTGTATAAATACCTGTAATAAATAAATTGGTGTCTATGTCTTAGAGATTGGGAGGGTTGATCTTTTTAGCAAAAGACAACTGGACACGGCTGACACCGCTCCGTCCACAAAAAGTGCGTGTGTGTGTCCACAACAGGACTTAGGAGCTGAGTGCGTTTCTCTCAGTAGGTATTTTTCGGTACTTGAAGGGTCTTTACAAGGATAAAACAAAGGAACATGTGCACGTATTGCAGAGATGTACTGCATACTATGCTGACATACACTTACAAAATCACTGTTATGGGACTAAAGCAGATTCAGTTTAAGCTTTCTGACATGTCTCTAGTAAATCATAACATAGCCATGTAAAGTTAAAAGAGGAATGTACTCGACTTAGTTTAATCCGAAGTTGGGGTCCAGTCACACCATAGTGTTGCATTAAACGCAAGATACCATACGTTTAGCACTCAATCCTCTGAGATGGCTTGCTCTTAGACCATTCCCTGGAGCCTGTCTCCTCCTCCGCTGCAGCGTTCTAAGATTTCTTGAGTCCTCATATCCTATACACAGTGTATAGGAAGAGAGGATGCTGAGGGAAATACCATCGCTGCAGCAGGGGAGACAGGTTTCAGGGACTGGAGTCTAAGTCAGCTGGCTCTGGGGATCGGGTGAGTATAACTTTGTTTTAGCACCTAGACAAAAAAGAGCACTTAACCCTTGACATGCAGGGTAGCCCAAATGCTGGGGTTAAGAACACTTTTACCCAGAGTTCTGCTTTAAATAATTTTATAGCTGGCCTAAGAGGTTATTTATATCTGTTTGCAGTTCTGCTTTAAGTCTTTAGACAGCTAATAAAAAAAAAAAAAAACGTAGGCACCCAAATATAGACGGCATTTAGAAAATGTGGAGGATTGGTTCTAATGAAAAGTGACATTTTAGCTTTGTTGAAGAATAAATAGCCCACTACATATATTGCATGCATGTGACACTACATATATTGCATGCATGTGACACTACATATATTGCATGCATGTGACACTACATATATTGCATGCATGTGACACTACATATATTGCATGCATTTGTACAATCTGCATAGGAGATATTACTAACGCCCCTAAATTGGGAAAGCTGAAGAGACTCTCAGAGACAAATGGGAAGATCTCAAGGGGGAAGATTAGTTCTGAAAACAAGGTTTAGGATGCAGATCTTGTGATTTTTATTAAAAGAATGCAATTTACGTTCGCACATTGTGTTTTACTTCTCTTTAGTTAAGGTTGTGGTACAGAGTATGTGTCACACATGTGGTTTGTCTGTCTAGCATGGGGACAAGTAACTTATTTATTTTTTGTTAAAAAAAATACATTGCTTAGGTTTTAAAAAAGAAACATTTAAAATGGTAATACACGTACAATAAATACAAAAAAAGTTGCACGGGGATAAGGAGTACATTTCCCTATACAATGTCAGCACAGAAAATTAATCATATTTCAGTTGTAAATTTGCGTTTACACGTACAATAAAACTCCATCCAAAAGCTCTTGTTTTTGTTTCAGATAGACTGGGGAAGGTTTCTTACATCACTTAAAGTGACACTAAACTCAGGAGTTAAATCATAAAAATGCATTCAAACTATTAAGAAAAATGTATCTTATTTATGTATCACTCAGCTGTAGATCCTCAAATCATCTCTGAATTCATGCCGACACTGTCCTTCCTTCTGGAGGGTGGCTACTTTTGTTTCCCATGTTCCCTGTGTGTGTTGTAAAGTAGCCACCGCTCCAAGTTCTCCCATAATAGACCATAACATCAATACAAATGAGTAAACTAAACATGAGATTGTAGTCCATCACAGAAGTGATTTGGATCAGTGGCTACTTTGCAATACACACAGGAACCATGGGGAACAAACAAGCCCCCTATGTGATAACAAATATAAAATGACTGAGACCCCTAATGTCTCCATAAAGAGGACCTAAGACCCCTAATGTCACCTAGGGACCCCCAGAGAAGCTGATGGAGCAGAGATCTACTTCACCAGCTTTTTCTCAGGTTATAGCAGCCTGAGAAATGAAAGCTAAAGGCGGAAGTGATGTAATACTTCCGCCTTCAAGCATTGGAGGAGAGATCAGCAGTGGGGGAATGCTGATCTCTCCTCTGTTCCTTGTGTAAGGATCCGCTGTGGCAGGCCCGTGGGGGCAGCAGAGCCCTGGATAACTGGCAACAGTGTAGAGGTGGAGGCGGGGGGAGCGCAGAGGGCAGCCGCAGATTGTCATCATACAGGTGAGCGGGCCACTATAGAGCGGCCGAACACTTGTATGTTTTGCGGGGGGAAAAATCATGTACATGCACGCAGGGGCGTATATGCCGCGAGGCAAACAAGGCGTTTGCCTGGAGCGGCAGATTCGCTGAGGGCGGCGTTGCTGCCTTGCCTAGGACATGGGGGGGGTGCTGTATGAGCAGCGGCGGGTCAGTCAGGGGAGGGGGGATTTTCCGAGAAGCTGCGGGGGAGGGGGCGGCGCTGCTGCCTTGCCTAGGGCAGCAGCAAAGTTAAATACGCCGCTGTATGCACGTCCACCGGCTGGGAAGAGTTCACTGTATTTACAACGGGCGGATGGCAAGCGGCTAAAGAGCCTCAGGGAAAATATTTACTTAACCCTTGCATTGGGGCTACCCCTGCACTGCAAGAGTTAAGTGCTCGTTTTTGTCTGGCTTCAAAAATAACATTTATACTCTCCTGATCCTTGGAGCCAGCTTGCTATAAGACCACTCCTTCCAGCCTCGCTCCCCCTCAACTGCATCGGTCTAAGGGCTGATGAGTCATCACATCCTATACACTGTGTAGGACGTGAGGACGCCAAGGGACATTCCATTGCTGCAGCACAGGTGAAGAGGGGCAAAAGGGGCCGGTCTAAGAGCAAGCCATCTCCGAGGATTGGGTGAATGTAACTTTATTATTGGAGTAGCTCCACTGCAAGGGTTAAGAAATAATTTCCCTGGAGTAATGCTTTAATGCAATTTTCTTTGTCTGTTAATCTGCAGCCAGCTGCAATTTTCTAGAACTGAAAATTTTTTTGTTTTCTTGTAACCATGGCAGCTGGGGACATTCTGTAAGCTATGGGGTCTATTTAAAATAAGTGCTATGGCCATGCTGTGGCTATACCACTGCATTAAAAAATGAAAGACCCCCCAGAACGTTTATAAAGCAGAGCGATCTTACAGTGCTACACATGTGAAGTACAATAGACTGTAGACATTTGGTTAACATCTCTCTCTCTCTATGCCTTGGGAAGGGAAAAGGGTCAGCAAGGCTGCAAGGAGCTTTTTCAAGAAGTTGGAAGATCTCTGCATGTGGTACCATGCCCATACAACATCATTATTTCACATCATGCTATTGAAATGTAGATTCCTTGTAAGATACAGACTGTAAGGGCTTCATTTATAAACCTGTAGTCCGGGATATAGCACGGCACTAGCCCCTAGATGGTGCCATCAGAAATTCCTGTACTTGTCAGCACCATCTACAAGGGTTCATGCCATGTGAATTGCATAGCCAGGCAGACGTTTTATGAATAAAGAGTTTGTTCATGGCAGTTTTGAACAGAACAAGGTCTTCATTGCATTCTAGATCACCCGGTGGCCTGTTGGAAGACATGGGGATTCCAACAAAAGACGACATGGAAACTAATGCTATGGCTAGTCTAGTAGAAACCACATAGTGTATGTGTATGCCACAATGGTGGCTCTCTGAATTAATTTTGGGGTGGCAGTTGGACATGGCCAAGATCATAAGGATAGTAAAGTTAAAACAGAACCATTTCACCAATCGGCAGTTTGCTGCTTTGTTTCTGTTGCAGTGAATGTAACCTCTGCTGGTCTGTTTCAATGTAAATGCATGAACACAATGATTGTGAGTGTTTCCTGTTCTGACAGCCTTGTATTCTGTATTTTCCAGCATATGAATACCCATTTTATGGAGTTCAGTGGCATCCAGAAAAGAGTCCATTTGAATGGAGAGAAACCTCTGATATATCCCATACCGCTGAAGCTATACATGTGGCTTTTTACATGGCTCAATTTTTTGTTAATGACGGTAACAACTTCACACTAAAATAAATTTTGATTATTGGAAGCTAAATGAATGTCAATAATTCATGTAGCACTATAAAGTTTAAGATGTGCCTGACATGAACAGATTATTGGTAGATGAGGGGTACCCCCAAACTTTAGATGACAGTCGGTCATTCCTGCCTGATCTGGTGTGAAATCAGTTTGCCCAAGTCCTCCCAAAACTGTGACTGCCATCCCAGCCCAATCAGTGGTGGCAGATGTGGCGGGGAGCATTCCCCACTCCTTTGTGACATATAGCTGGGGGAATGCGCCTCTCCATAACTGATTGGGTCGGGAGGAGGGATGGCAGTCACAGTTTTGAGTGAGCTTGGCCGAACTGGATTTTCACCAAGCCCAGGCTCATCACTAATGGAGCAGAGTGATCAGTATAGACCAGTGATGGCGAACCTTGGCACTCCAGCTGTTTTGGAACTACAAGTCCCATGAGGCATTGCAAGGCTCTGACAGCCACAGACATAACTCTCAGAGGCAGATGCATGTTGGGATATGCAGTTTTGGCACAGCTGGAGTGCCAAGGTTCGCCACCACTGGTATAGACTATACCTGCTGAACACTTTGTTCCCTGCAAGTGCTCAACTGAGCTCAGGGAGACCTCGCGTATATACGGACATTACCTGTAAACATCAGATCAGGAGAATGTTCACTTATGTCTGTAGGTACCCTTTACCCTTCTTATCTGCATGCAATCTTAAAGAAAGACAACTACAAACAATAGTACAAGCAACAATTCCTTGACACAATTCTGCGAAGATTCTCATTGTCAGTGGGATGGTACAGTCAGAATCTTTGTGTTTTAGGATGATTTTACAAGACACAATTGTCCACAGATTGTACAGTGTTATCGCTGTGTGTGGTCACATTACATAGCCTACCTCAGCTTTCAGCAACACTTTCTTTTTAGTGACCATTCATCAACAGATGGCTACATGGAATAACAGGTGGTAGAAGATCTCCCTGTCACTGCTGAACACGGCTTGTTAGAAAATATCTGTAAGAAATAATGAGCCTTTCTGATGCTTGCAAGTGCACCTTATTGTTCTGTCATTAACCCATTCCCAGCTTAATTGTGATGAGCAGCTCTTGCATCTGTCTCTCATTTGCAAATATAAAGCAAAGTGTACAATCTGATACAATTCCCTATAACAAAACTAGGCAATATGAGGATAATCCTTAGCAATCCATTTAATTGGTATAAAATATCAGATATCAATATCTCTCTTAAAGAATAACAGGTGGCACAATAGCTCCCCCTCATTCCAAAAATCATAACTTGTAACATTTCTCCCAAACGTGGCCAACTTTTGGCTGTGGAGCACACATCCTGTAAAAAGATTCTTCTCACCTTAATGAAGAATGATCACAATGATCTACAGAGGTTTTCCAGATGGGAAAATCTCTGCATATAGTGAGGACTTGGTACTGAGGAGTTACCCCGTGCATTACAGGACTGTATCAGGTGATGCTTGAATTGGATGTAGCTGGTAATTGGTAAATTGATCATTGAATCAGGAAATACTTACTATTGGGTTTTCTGTATACATGCCATGGGTGTAGTAGTGGATAGTATCTATAGTATGTAAAAAAACAAAAACATTTAAACCGTGTGAATAAAGGGTAACCAAAAACCCCTGGCAGTGTTATGGTTTGTCCCAGCCCCTGTCATTTTTGGCTTGCAGCTTGGCCAGCATGTAAATGTGAAAAATATGAAAAAAAAAATTCAGATACTGAAAACTATTATTATGGGGCTGATTTATAAATCTAGCGTATAGTGGGAGAATGCTGTTTATGCAACACTACCGCCACTAGATGCAGCTGAGGAGCATAGGAACTCCTTGGCTCCATCAAGTGAGGTAATGTACGAACAGCATTTACCCAGTTATATACTGGTGGAAGATTTATAAATCAGCCCCATAATTTCAGTATGTGAATTATTTTTCTTTACTGGAGATACGCTGGGGCCCTATGTGTATTACCCCATACAGTTATCAGAATACATTATTTTTTCTCCCAATGGGGTGCTTTAAGAATTTGCATTTTCTAAATGGTGACCCATTGATTTTATTGATGATTCCTCATTGATTCCTGTGGAAGACATAGATCACTCATTCCCTCGCTGCATACGTTTCACCCTGCTAATGAGGTTTTTAGGCCAGTGGGGATGTGCATGAATTTGACCCCTGTTAATAAACATCTCTTAGACTACCAGGAAAAAAAAAGCCCCTGAAGTCATTTTTTTTGTGTATGCTATAAATAATTTGTGATGCACTAACTGTATTTTTTTTCCCCTACAGCTAGAAAAAGTCAGCACCAGTACTCCGAGGAAGCAGAAACATCACATCCATTAATATATAATTACTGCCCAACGTACACTGGAAATATTTCCGTCTTTGAACAAATGTATTTTTTCTGAAGTTATTAAACTTGCTTTTAATGTGCTGCAGCCTGTGGTGAGAACATATTTTTGCTATGCACTTTATACTTTATGACGCCAATGCATTGATCATAGGAAAGTCATATATTTTTTATTTTTTTTTACAAATTGGTGTTCCTTTGCCAACTAAGAGCTGTCAAGCCAATTCTGCTTTTATTTTGACTGTTTAAATTATTGATTTAGTAAAGCTACTTGTGTTACTGGGATTGCAGTCGGTAACACTGAATGTAAAGCTGCGTTTATTATCTGCAATGTGCGGAGAATCCTGTGTGTCTGCTATTCTTCTTTCATTTTTTTCCCCATTCCTGGAAGGGGCCATAACAATTAAATGCTGACTTGACACTTCAGTCTGACTTGTGTTTTTTGTTTTTAGGCTATTTTTCCTTTTAAATTCCTGCAACAAATTTGTGCTTTTATTCAATCACAGGGTATACTTAAATCAAACCTATGGCCTCTGAAATCCATATTTTTACTATTCACCCTTTGGCTCAACCACTTTTATGACTTGCACATCCTACCACACTGCATAGCAAGGAAGGGGATATAACTGTTTCAATTGCAAGGAAAGAAACCTGACCCTAGGTTCTTTATGCACCTGTTTGCATGTTAACAGTGCTAGACTGACATCACTGTGTGTCATGATCCAGCCAAGAGGAAGTAGGTCTGGATCATATTTGCACTTATTGTTAAACATTTTTAAGATCACAGTACAACTTAGGGCAAAATGTTAGGCTTAGTTTACCTTTTAGACCATGTTTAGACTTATGTAAAAGGTATCTGTTGATGAATACAAGTGGTCCAGAACCCTGAAATGTAATTGCCTATGTGGACTGAGTTCCTGAAAAGCTGCACATTTTTAGTTAAATTTCAATATATATGTATATATGTGTGCTAAGACACTTAAAACATTACCTTAACTCAGAAAAACAATTAAAACCATGCCCCAACAACAATTCCTCGGACATATAGTATGAACACTAAACATTATATACTGTACATAAAAACGAATAAAAATTTAAATATGTATCCAAGGTAGGAAATCCCAGAAGAAAAACACTTACTTAAAGACCAAAGTCTTAAGTACATATGTTCATTATGCACCATAAGTGGCAAGGAATGTCAGTAAATAAGTGTGGACACAAAATCATTGTGTCAAGATTCTCAACTCCTTTAGTAAATCAGGCTAATAATCTCTTACATTTAATACCTAAACTGTAATGGAATACCTTGCATACCTAATGCATACATTGTACTAGTTTAAATATCCCCTATACAAATAAAAGAACCCAGGTACAAGAAAACCTACGAGTATCATATCGATCTGCAGCTTCTTCAGGAACCCACGTACTATAAATGTACATTATCATAAAGGTAACCTGTAATCACTGCACCTCTCGGGGATACATTTTTCAGGTTTGTATTTATGTATGCATATGTTTTTTTACACTGATGCAGATTTTCCTGCAGTGGTCCCATCTTGCGAGTTCTGTTCTCAAAGCTATGACTGTTGACGATCTGATATGGTTATGTCACAAAGCGCCATCTAGTGGATGTTTTTGAGTTATTTATTATTTAGCTAGGACTTAGGGCCTGTTCACATGAGATCAGGTCCTGATCAGCAAACGTGGAGCTGCTGATGCAGTGCGTTTTTGATGCGTTTTCGGTCCGGATGCTGACAGTTAATTTTTTTTTTTTAGCCAAGGGGCTGTCAGTAAAAAAATCCCCCCTAGGTCAGCTATATGCAATAGTAGAATTTTACTGAATGTAAAGTAAAATTGTACTTTGCCCATATGAGACAAAGCAACAAGTTCACCTACCCACTATTCACCAGGCCCACTATAGTGAACACACTTGTATTCTCATAACTGTATCTGTATTATGGATGCTCAGGTGTGAACATGGGCCATAGAAATGAATGGGATTCCTTGTCTTGAGTGCTTTATTGCGCTCAAGACAAGCAAACGAGATTCCTTTTCTCAAAGCATTTTCTCACGCTTACCTTTGAGCGACAAAACACCTAGGTGTGAATTAAGGGACTAAGGGGTCTATTCACGAAGCAGCCGAAGGATCTAGCCGTAGCTTCGGCCGATCCTTCTGCTAGCTTCGGCCCCAGGCTGCTTTACGGGCTATTCACAATAGCCTGTACAGCTCCCGAACTTAGCCGAGTGGCTCAGTCGAGCAGAAGGCATATGTTTCTTAGGAGTCTATTCACTAAGCTAACTAAGTGTTTTACAATACAGTTTTCAAGTTGTGGCCTTTGTCATTGTGCTGAGGAACCCAGGCCTCTGAGTGCATTGAAAACATAATCCAAGTTTATTTCATGTACAGTATATACATAACACTTTACTGTCAAAGAGGAAAAGGCTAGATTGTTGAAATTTCAAGAATATACTGTATTTATACAATTTTGATCATTTTTGCAGATAACATTTCATATACCCCTCATTAACACCAGCCAAACCACCTGTGCAACCCTGTAGACATTCAAACTCTTGTGAATTTCCAGGAGACAGGTCTCATTATTTAGTCATAACAAGCAAGATAACCCAGAGTTTCCCAGAGTCTGTCTTACTTGTTCAGCATAACAAACTGTGTATTTCACATGTTCACACATGCTTGCTTACTACCTTTCTACAAGACTGGAGGAGCTGAGGGGAACAAGACCGTAAACACCAGGCCTGTAGCCTGACTGAAGCCATGTTCAAAATTCCCCAACAGTGCTGTAAATGTATTTAGACTGTTATGGATAGCCAAAACCCGATTATTAGGGGGCTATTCACAAAGCTACCGCAGGCAGCCAAGTGAATAACCCAGCCGAAGTGAAGTGAGCCAAACAACGTTTGTCTATTCATTACGACTCAGCCTTTGGCTGCACTTCGGTCAGCCGAACATGCTCTATTCACATAGGGGCCGAACAGCAGTGATTGAATAGCCGAAAGCTGCCGAGTGGCATTCAGCTCGGCTATTCTGGTACCTCCGTGGTACCAAGCAGAATAGCAAATCAATGGAGAAACAAAATGTGGAAAAAAAGATTTTTAAAATGTAAATAAATAGTTAAATAAAAAAAGAAAGAATTTAAAAAAAAGAAAAAAATAATACTAAAAAAATCAATTGGGCGGAGCAGCAGTGATAGCAAGCTCTGCCCAACTGGTTCCTATTGGCCGACACCTTCTAAAGTCTTCTAGCTGTTCCTGGCCAATGAATAACAACTGGGCGAAGCCGGCCGTGACATCACTGTTATTGTTTAATGACAGTTCAGCGTCCGCCGGGTCATTTGGGGACACTGATCTGTCATTACAACTGGGCGGAGCCAGCCATGAGATCACGGCTGGCTCAACCCAGCTGTCATTTGCGGAGCAAAAGGCCCGGCCTTTGGCAGGCCGTTTGCCCCGCTTCGGCTGACACTTTGGCTTAGTCGAGCAAATGCCTTCGGCTCGGCTGAGCCGCTCGGCCGCCTTCGGCTGTTGTATGGGCTATAGTAAATAGCCCATACAACAACCCTTCGGTTTCGAAGGGCTCCAGCAGCCGAAGAGAGCCAAAGGATCAGCCGAAGCTACGGGTGGATCCTTCGGCTACTTTGTGAATAACCACCTTTTTTTTGTTTTTGTTGTATGTGTTCCATTGGAAAGATCTACAATGTGAGGAAAATTCTGCTCTTAGAATTTCTTCGGAACATGTGCCCCATTTGAAAATATACCCTCACATTCTGTTCCAGTGACAACTCTAAAATTTTGGATTTCATATCACTTTCTGTATTGGTGACAATAGTCGCCAGTACAAATAGAGGGGTAAATCTTCCCAATGGAGACTCGGGCAGTAATAACTTTCACAGGTGTTCTAATCCTTCTACACCATGAGAAAAAAGTTAACTATACAGTACATAAGAATGTGAAGTTCATATTTGGTTAAGTTTAACTTTAGGAGCTGTTAAAGCACTTTTTATTTTCTTTTTATAAACTGAAACTAGAGTATTGCCTCTTGGGGTTGGCCAGAGAGCATACTCTTCTTCATATAGAACAAGCTCGGGAAAAATAACCAGCAACTGTTTTATGGGCTGTCTTAGCAATTCCTGGTTTTATAGATCTTACTTTAAATTTTAACCTATTTGGGATAACAACAAAGGTATTACATTAAACTTGTTATAGAAATCTTTGCAAATCATTTTCCCTATGTTCCTCCAACCTGCAGAATTCTAGCCACAAGTTGAATCCCAGCTCATTGGCAGGGTGATAACCTTAGATACAGCAAGCTGTGTCTACGGGCCCATCCTTTTAATGGCTCCGCTGCTCTGAGAGCTGTTCTGTCACTGGAAATAGACACTTATTGATGTGTACAACTCTCAGGACACTTACTGAAGAGCATATACAGTCGAAATAATTATTTGGTAGTTGTATTCATTTACAGGTACAGAGAGTACTCTTGTGGCTGGCCTTTCCAAACAGCTTTTATGCTCCAGACTATCTTGACATGACTGAGCCCTCACCGGAGATGGATATACAGCAGGCTCTACATTAGAATGTCTGCCTGCTGACTAGTCTCAATGGGCAGTGCACTACAAAATACAGAAAAGTTAAAGCACTTGCTTAAAAAAATGTATACAAAGAGAAAAAGAACCACTGACTTATAAAATCATTTCCACATTATGATACTCTTTATGTGTCAATAATTTTGTTATTATAATTATAAGAACATCAATATTCTGCCCCAAATGGAATAAAAAAAAGTACACATCCGAAATTGCAACATTTGGGAATTTATAAAGAAAAGTTCTGTAGAACCCTATCAGACTTTAATGGTACTCATACAGCATCTTGTTCGTTTAAAATATTAACTCTTTATTTTAAATCACAAATGAAAAACAATATTACTAGGAAGACCAGCAATATATTACATTAAAAACGACACATCATATACATCAAACCTTGAGATTGTCCCGCTTGCCAGACCAGACCAGTGTGTTCACAATTCAGTGTGTATTAGAACCC